TATATATATACTTTTGTCACATTTAAAATGTACAACGGTAGTCACCAACATTGCACACAGGCCTGCTGTTACCTCTTTTTCAACTTCTGGTCTATGATGGTGTGTGCTCTGCAGTGATAAGACCAGCAGAGGTAAGTACTTTTGTAGATTCCCACAAAACCTGTATACACTTAAATCCTTTTCTTTTCCAGTACTTTCCGCACTCACAAGGAAACATGAAAAAAGTTAAGAACTCAAGTCTTGACTGTGTGGTCAACCCACTGGTTGTGCTACAAAGGAGAGGTTTTGACCTAAGCTTTAATCCTCTGCACTTTTTTGTTATCAGCTCAGTGGTTCAGATTTTTAAACCCAAATAAGGCATCAGAAAGCGTCCAGCTAATTTATCTGCATTCCATTGCAAGCTTCATTTAGTCTTCACAATGTGCCCCTTTAACAATCTAATCTGAAAGGTTTTGTTCTTTTTTTCCTATCTTGTATGACATGATACTTTTATACCTAAGTCGAAATGCCATTTTACAGGCTTTGAAAATTAAGGAACATTTCCTTTAAAGGAAATTCCCACTAGGTCACCCGTTACTTTCAGGATACATTATATTGGTGTGTATAGGTGCTGAACATTCCACCCTATAACCTTCTGAATGGGCTTTAAAAAAATTTTCATTACATAGTTAAATATCACCAAGGTCTACCAACATTAAAATACCAAGACTAATTATATGAGTCATTTTCAGAATACAAAATAAATAAATATACCTATTGTACTTCACAATTCGTTATGCCGAATTGTTTACAAAGGCTGTTTGTTACCTATGCTTTTAGTAATTTTGTAGAACCATACCTCAAAATCTTGGATTTCCCTTTACTCAATTTCCATGCATGTCAAGTGCTGGCACACATTCCCAGTCAAGCCTACAGGATGTCTAACCTTAGGTATGTGGCGTCCCGCACAGATATATATTCTGAAGAGCGCACTAAATCCGTCCACAAGTGATGGCAACCTCTTGTTCTTCATTCGAATCGCCACCTGGAATCAGATTCTTGACCCCTGGATATACATCTTGATTACAGTGTCCAAGTTAAGGCGAGTAACAAATTAGCAATTGTGATGCACTGTTTAAACAGGCACTTTTCACCCCATAATATCCTAACTGTGGGTTTTTGTTTGCATGCTTCACCAGCATGCTTTTACCCTTTTTTTGATTAAAACCCCTGGTTATGCACCATGATCTCATTATTGTTTGAATTAAACAATTCTAACCCACCAATCATGTGACCTATAAGTATAATTTACTGCATGCTTTCATCCATCTCATGAATTTATTGCTAAGAAATACATTGTAATTCTTAACAACTTGTTATTTTACAGAAAGAAACGAATAAGGTTCAATTCCACAGTCAAAATTTAGTTTGTTTTGTATAATCCGTTGACATTTTTTCATCTCTTATAAATGTCATTACTAGCCTCTGCCCTCACTATAGATAAATGTAAATTATATAACTCCTCGTTAAATAACAGTTTAAGTAAGTAATTTTATTCATATTTAGAAAAAAAGCCACACACTGACCAGAGTGCGGTGCTGAAAGCACTGAATGTTCCCTTCGAGCATGTGCTATCATAGCAACAGATTCACACCTGTGATGCCGGATGACCCCGGGAGCACCCGGAATTGCCACCCTGATAGGCAAACCTGAGAAAGTGGCGGGTGTTCAAATGCAATAGGCAAATGAAAGTAGGCATTTGTCAGATCTATTGACGTAAACCAAACCCCTGCACAACAGTCTGAAGGACCTCTGCTGTGGTGAGCATGTGGAAGGGAAGGACTGTTAGATACCGATTGAGTCCTCTTAGGTTTAAAAAGGGACAAAAAATGCCCGTCTTTTTTGCCACAAGGAAGTATATCCAGTAGTAGTAGCCTCTGGGTTGAAACTAGTGGCAACTCTAAATGCAAGAAACATACCTACTGAAAATGAACAAAGTCCATTAAAGAAATATACAGAAATTTAGAAAAGATCTATTTGGGGTAAGCATATATGGACACACTGATGCTTGATATCACTTTACTGTCACTGAACATTTTAAAGTAACAAAATCAGACGATTAAAAATTAAGAAAATGTCTTTATACATTTAGTGAAATGTAATTAAAATGCTATTTATTTTTATAATTAAATTACAAAAAATCTGCGTTTCAATATACATATATTTCAAATCACAGACAACTAATTTGTTTTGCTGAAGCCCACTAAAGTCAAAGCTACGACGGAGTATTAGGGCCACACATGAAGAGAAAAAATATTTTTGCCATGACGAGATTAAACTCGACATTAAACTCAACATTTCGAGAATAAAGTTGAAATGTCATGTTGAGTTTAATCTCGACGTGTCGACTTTAAACTCGCCCTGTCGACTTTAAACTCGCCATTTCGAGAATAAAGTTGAAATGTCATGTTGAGTTTAATCTCGACGTGTCGACTTTAAACTCGCCCTGTCGACTTTAAACTCGCCATTTCGAGAATAAAGTTGATATATCGTGGCGACTTTAATCTCGACATTCCAAAGTTTGGAGAAAAGAGCAACCGCGCTCCACAGCTGCAGTCTGCGTTTTAAGAGTGAAGGTAGTCTTTGACGTGCTGCAACTATATAATCATCACAGGAAGCGGTGGCCTACCAATAATAACGTAACATCTTTCCCTATGCTTACCCAGGCTCGCAGTTCTGAATTTGAGAACATGTCAGTCATTTAAACTCTATTCTCAAAATGGCGAGTTTAAAGTCGACAGGGCGACTTTAAAGTCGACATGTCGAGTTTAATCTCGTCATGGCAAAAATATTTTTTCTCTTCATGTGTGGCCCTAATACTCCGTCGTACAAAGCAGAGATCATGGGGATTTGGACAACTGAAATAACTTACCAAATACAGAACATTTAAAACAATTACTTACATTCCCAGATTTGGTAATCTAAGCTGTTGTCTTTGAAATTGTGCCAAGAGATAGCGCTGCCAGAAAATAACTCAGAGAGCAGTTTTACAGACTATGACTTTTGAATTTTTTTTTCTTCTGCTTTCTTTAAGGGGGAACCTGACATCATAATTCAATAAAATCAAAACAATAGAAGAAGGGGGCTTGCAACAGTTGCTCAAAATATGGGTGGCTCAAACTGGGCTGTACATACAAGGAACCCATCAGTCATCTCACAGTTGAATGCAACTTTACTAAGAAATTAACAGTCACAACAATCATAATATCACTGTAATAATATCAGCTACTTTAAGGTTATGATGATCTACTTTCTCTATACTTTATCCTTCTTATCCAACAATAAACTTACTACTGTATTTAAATAATTGTGACAGATTCTAATCCAAATAGAGTTCACAGCAAAGGGACAAGAGAGTAGATGGCATGTGAAAGAAGGCTGACTTAATTTTATGCACTATGAGCTCAAAGGTAGGCTTAATGGGAGAAGAATGAATTTATTTTATATTTTTCGTTAAAGCTACATTTATTGATAATTAATAACCACTTAAACCCAGTTGTCCTATAATGAGTTTAATGATTATTAATGATATTAGTTTCACTTTAAAATTACCTTCTGTAAAATTAATGAAGTATGGTCAGTCCATTTGAGTAAGTCTCTGTTTTGGTCTTCCAAAGAAAAGACAGATGGGGACTGCAGCCTATTTTTTTTTTTCTTTTAATTTCTAGGAAATACAGAATGCTTTTTCTTTTGCTGTTTCCAATTCCTTTATTTACTTAATTATAATCACCTAGACCTATATACAGGAGAAAAACAGTGTTGCAGTAAAACCTAACATTGTCCATTTAAAAAAACAAGTATTAAAAATAAAAATGGCATGAAATGAGAACATTTCTTTGACCTAATCCTTGGAGAAAGGGATCTGGATTTGCACAAAGCAATACTTTTCATTGCATTTCTCAATGTGACCTACCAGAAAGAAACATTTTAAAGTCTGTGAAAAATTAAACAGAGAAAAAAGGTCATCCTTGGTCTACATGTCATCTAAAATTAGCTTGTTTGCATGATTTGCTGTACATGGAGGAGTCAAACATAACATCTTAAATACAGCAGGGATAGTTTACTGTTCTATTGTTTATCTTGCCTCACAACTACCATGACAGTGTTATCCTATTATGTACATATCAATACATGTTATTGTTGTTAGTTTAATTTCAATATTAACCAATTTTATTGTTTTTTTTTTTTCCCCTTTTCAAAATTTCCACTCCTGATATTCTCTCTTTTTCATCCTTTCTGTCTTCTTATTAATGTCTCCTAATGGATTGTCTTCTTTTTCATCTTTCTATTGACTCTTTTGTTGGATATTTTATCTAAATCTGCACAACTTTAGGTCTTCATTGTCACAACAGCCTTGGCCGGGACTGGATATACGGTGAAATATCTACTCCTCTGGATCCGCTTCGCTACCTGGAACCAAATCCTAGATCCGTGGGTATACATCCTGTTTCGGCGGTCAGTTTTACAAAAAGTCAACCCTCGCATTGATTGGTCTCAGAGCTCGGTCAGGTCTTTGTATCCATCATTTCGTGAAAACGTCCGTAGGTTCACCCGGTCTTCAGTGGGGAGCAACCTGGGCTCAGATCTCCCCGAAAGTAATGAAAAATCCAATTCTACGCCCTCATCACCAACATCGCCATCCTCACCGACTCCATTGTTGGTTGGATCAGAGTCATAAATTCAACAGACTAATAGAAGTGTCCAACTAACTGTAATGGAAAATGTAATGAGGAAAACTAGCATGGTTGCACCAGCAATGTGAAATTAATTAAACTTCTTATAGAACAGGTAATATTTCAAATGTCTGATATTATCACTTAATCACCATTAGAACCTAATATAAGGTTTAAGAACTATTATATTTACAAAGAAATAGAAAATTTTACGATTATTCAAAATTGTACTTCACTGGCACACAAGTAAAGCTAAGAATGAGGTGTCCAAGCTGAGAGTTTTTGTTATCTAATGTACTTTTATCCTACTCTATAGCAGCTAACACATTATGTTAGAGATATGCCTCACTGTTATAATTAACAGGAATATATACATGTATAGATATTGGATGCTTAACTTCAAAAACAATAAAATGGTCTTTATAAGCTTGTTTGATATTTAGAATTTTGTTAATTGTCAGCTGCCCATCCATCCATCCATCCATCCATCCAAGGTAGGTAGGTAGGTAGGTAGGTAGGTAGGTAGGTAGGTAGGTAGGTACCATCCATCCATCCATCCATCCATCCATCCATCCATCCATCCATTTTCTACACCCACTCATTGCAGTGTTGCAGATAGCTGACTTCTTTCTCTGGCTGTCACTGGATGGGCAGTAAGTCAGCAAATGTGTAAAAAGATTGTTGTAGAATGAAAAAACTTCAAACACAAAATATGGAACCGAAGGAGAACACCACTATGTAGGATTAGGGAAATGAAATGCCATGATTGACAGTATTACTTTCTGCTATGTGATATTTTTTGATTTTGTAAAAGTGAATAAAAACTATACTTTTCTTGTTTTCTTTACTGGTAATAAAGCGTTTAACAATGCAATTCTAATGTGTTTTTTTTATTATTACATAAAACACTAAAACTGTTTTGAAAATGATGTTTACCCTTTGTTCTTTAGTGACCTTTTTTATTCCTCATAACAATATTTAGCTCTATTATTTAGCTATGTACAGCTATAATAAATTATTTTATTCAATGTCAATTCAATTCAAAATTCTTTATGACACATACCTTTGAAACCACCAGAATCTATTTCTCTGAATTGTGCCCATCTTTTAAAAACACAGTCAGTGGACATTCGTAACCTTTACTACCTACACTGTTTTATAAGGACATGAAATTTGAGATTTTTGCAAATACCTGCAATTTAGACCGAGTCCAGAATTGTATCAAAATTCAAAACTTTCACTAATCAGTTGAAATCATTAAACTTAGACTCAAACTCATGCTAAAAAAAAACAAAAAAAAACTTATTTGATCTTTTCATTTTGTCATAGGAAGTAGAGGGTTGTTGAGTTCATGTTTGGCTGAACATGACTGATCATCTAATCTTCAAGATCTTATAAGTCACTCTACAGGGCTGGGTTGATTATATTCTAAGAGGTCTGAATTTTTTTTAAACAAAAAATAAAAATGTTATTTGTAAATAAATCATTATTTGTACAGATCTCACTTTACTCAGCTAAGTTGCTGTCAATATGTGTCAAATCCATCTTCAAATAGAATTTACAAGTTTGTTCTACTTGACAAAAAAACACAGATCTAGTTTGAAAAGACCTGCATCATGAAAGTTTATGTTTGTTTGTTGTTTTTTTTTTAAATAAAGTAATACTACCAAGCATATTAATAACCCATTTTCTTTCCACTTAAGATGCTGAATTCATAATTTGGGAAAATGTAAACTCGTTATCCTTGTTCAAATATCCAAGATAAATGCCCACCTTTAAAGTTACCCCACAACATTTGTGTCTTGTTGTTTCCAGCAGGTTTTCTCTTGGAGAATGTTAGTTTACTGGTGCTTATTTTTAACTACCGTATGTAGATTTCTAGGGGGTTCCTACGTAGATGGGCCTGATCTACGGTGTATTTTATTTAATCCACATTTAAGCTGTACATGGAGTACAGAAAAATTTAAAAGTACTCCTGAGTTTACAGTGTTTCTCATTTATTGACATTAGAGTGATGATCAATTGAGGGCACATTCAAAAGTCCAAAGGAAGATTGATGAATCAATGCTGGCCCTTATTATGATTATATCATACAATGAGAAAAAGACAAACAAATTATTAAGGAGGGAATATCTGGAAAGCTAAATCGTTTCGTATCATAGAACAGATATATTACTCTCAACTGTATATATCTAAGTTCTGCCATTTTTAACATCTCCAATAGCTCCCCAAACATCAAACAAAAACACATCAGGAAAAGCAAAATCTCCCAGAACAGAGTCCAGGGCCTCAGCAAAGTCGTCAGGGTTCTTCTTGTCCTTGCCTGCCTCCACTATAGTGGTTGCTGCATAGAAAAGATATTAAAAATTAAAGATGCTCTCAAGTACTGCCTCTCTGTGTGTATGTGTGTATATATGGAATGTGTTTCCAAGTTTGAAGATGTTCCACTTCCCATCCAGGAAGCTTTTTCAATTCAAAGTGTCAGAAATAGAATTGAGTTTGAGGCTTTATAGAGTGGACCAAAAACACTTTGCTTTCACTTAGAAAACATTTAATTTGATTCAGCCACATAATCTTGTTAGGGATTGTCTAAAAATCTTTTTTTTAAAACAAAACCAAATGGTGTAATTTTTCACACTTTAACCATTCTCTGGACCATTTACACTACCCTCAGTGGAAAGCAAAATGCTATTGAGAATCACATTCATATCAGACGTTATATTGTTCTCCAAGCTTTGGCTATCCTCTTCATACTTGATAGATCGACTTTATTGATCTCACAGTACAAGAAATTAACTTGTTACATCGGCTCAATAGTCAAAAAGAAGAAGGTGCCAAAAGGAAGAAAAGGTGCATGGGGTATATCCAATATATACAGTGCGTTTTTTTAAGGCAAAACAAAGTGTTTTTGGTCCACTCTATAAAGTCTCAAACTCAATGCTATTCCTGACACTTTGAATTGAAAAAGCTTCCTGGATGGAAAGTGAAACATCCTAAAACTGGGAAACAAAATCCAAACTTGGAAACAAAGTCCAAATATTGCACCAGGAAGAAAGCTGGTTTCATGGTTTCCATAGTTACTTTGGCGATTGAATGAAGTTGTCCCAATGCAGTTCTTTACTACTACTAGTATCCTGGAGAAATTTTCAAAGTATCTTTTTTTTAACAGACTTCAGCTTTATCTGTTTAGTGGTGCATCTGATTGATTTTGATGAATACTCACAAACCATAAACTAGTTAAACTATATTCTTCTTCCATCATCTTAATAGTGGAAGTTACAGTCGAGTCAATGACACCCTAAAAATGTGGTGGACTGTAATAAATGTAAACCGTTGACCCAAATTTTAACACAAAAATTTCATAGAAAGCTATTTCAAAATTGTGTTTTATGTCTGTAAAACTCCCTGCATGGGCTAAAAATAAAAAAGGTCAAGAACAACAAATTACTAACATATTCTTTTACTTAGCAAATAATGATAATGCTTCCTTGAGGCAAGTTATCCAGAAATATGATTTATAGTCCTGCATCGGAAAAAAAGAATTTCAAAAACTTGGCAAAGCATTTTAAAATAAACACATAAATAAGGATTTCTTTGTATATAGGGATCTTGTCTGAACGGGTTTGCTTCCAAGGCTGTAAATATTAATATAGTTAACATTAAAAGACATCAATGCTGTCTGACTAGACTTACCCAGCTCCAGGTCTCTGATCCCCATGTAGCTCTCCAAAAGATCATCCACTTTCCTGGTGGCCTGTTCTTCAAACTCGTTCTGCTCGGGAAGCCAGCAAAAAAAAAAAAAAAAAAGCACAGAGGCATCTGCTGAAATGTGATGACAAGAGCCTGAAGGATCTGCAGTACATTCTCTTTTCTAAACATAACAGGCCCAAAAAAGATTTTCATTCCTGCTTCACCTCATGTAATATAAATATGCCATTGTTTATGCAGAACTGCATTGTAGTCCAAGTATAGAGATGCTCAGGCAGTCATTAAAATGGGTGCACACAGTACAAGTCAAATATACCTAATGTTAAAAGAATTATGATGCTTTTTGAAGCTTCATTAAGTAATATTATATTTGGCCTTTAAATAGCTTAAGATGATGCAGAATCTCTGAACTTTTGTGATGAACTGTTTCCAGTAACATTGTTTATGACTTCTTGGAAGTGTCATTTATGGTCAGGTCAGTGCACGGCTGTTCTAGCGTTCAGCATAAACACGAACATGTAAAAAAGAATTACAAGTAGACGATTAGATAAAAAAAAAAAAAAAAAACATCAGTTTGGATGTGTGTCTATGAATGTGCTTAATGCGCTTTCTGACCACATAAGGAAGTCGCAGCAGCCGTTTTTCCCACAGTTCATGTGAAACTCACCACTTCCTGAACTGTAGCTGCACCCTTAGAACGAAGCCGAAGTGTTTCTCTTCCGTTCACCAACTTGCCCTCATTCGATTTTGGTGCTTTTGTCCTCATTCCAATCATATCTAATCACATAAACAGGTAGACTGTCATCAAAAAAATCATGTCATTTCTGCTGCTTATTATCATATGCAGCATTTTTTTCTTTTCTGAATAATTATCCATCGAATCCAACCAACTTAGCTGTCTTATTATGAAAAAGATTATGTAGAGATTTACAGTTTTTTTTGTTTTTGTTGTTTTGTTTACAAGTTGGACACTATATTCCCACTCCTATATCTGGATGCTCACTAAGTTTTATTCATTTTCAAAAAAACAGATGAAACATTATGTTTGAGCATGGTTATGATATCTTAATGCAGATTTTAAAACTGCCCCAAACTGTTAACACGATTAATTTATAGTGCCAGGTTAGGAGTATCATTGTGTTTATGAAAAAGATAAAAAACTATTAAAAAAATAATATAAAAAAAAAAACTGCTGTTGTTTGGTGTAAAGCTAAACTTCTTCTTCTAAAACATTGTGGGATATACAGTAGACATCACTGACAAATTCAATAATTTAGAATATGCAATCTATTAACGATTTTAAAATAACCTTTTATCGGGTATTAACCATACTTTATTAGTTCAATTAGTTTTTTCATAGGTCTGATCAAATATTATGAATTGTCAAGTTTTCATTATCTGTTAGTGGACAATCATAAATAACAGAACTAGTAGACATTGAGTATATTTTCCTTTTGAAGAAGCCTTTTAAATCCTTCATACTCATGCATGTTTATGCATACATACCTGAGGCGTATATGGTTCCATGTGTACACACTAAGTTCTAAGCTGCAGCTGTAGATATATACAACCTGAATGATATTGTGTAATCACCATAGGTTTTCCTTTCCTCACGGTATACTGACTGGGTATCTATACCTGCTGCTCTTCAAGCTGGTTTGATGTTTACTTTTGGCCTTTACTTTCTTATTGCTGTTTGTTTGTGTGGAAGCAGATTTCGGGGAGTTGCCATCTATCTTCTGCGTTATTTTGCCATTTTGTTTTCTCTCCTCTCTCCTTCCTTTTTTCTATCTCTGTCTCTTTCTCCCCTTAATTCTTATCCCCTCTCCCTTTCTCACCTCCCGTTCTGTCCTGTTGTACAATTTTATTTCCTAAATCATTTTCAATAACGTTTCATATAGAAGTACCAAGCAGAACCTTAAGGCAATAACCGTAATATGTGCTAGTGAAAGCAAATCTGGTGGGCTACTATCAATTCCCAGAGATATATTGGGCAATCTGGGCACAAAAAAAGGAATTAATTACTAGAAAATGTTGCCTGATTTAATAGTGTATGATTACAGCCACAAGTGTTTGGGGGTTAGTCTACCAGCCTCTAGCACCATTGCTCCACCACAAACAAATACTGCTTTTCATGTGGGTAAAAAAAAGCCTAGTGTAAAACCTATTTGACCAAAGTGCCTTTTTGTTAAACATTAAATTGGTGACAGTTTTAAATGTTAATCTAAATCAACAAAAAAAAGCAGCTAAGAATGAGGCACGATTATTCAAGATATTTACA